TAAAATGAGGATTGCAACTGGGTTTTGTACAAGGCACAACCTTCAACACTAGGCACCTATACTTAGAATAAAAGAGTCTGTAAAATCCAACGCCCGACCCTACACAACAGAAATGTGCATTTGCTAACGTGGATCACACGCGTGCACAGAAACGAATTTAAGCAATAGGGTGACCTTCAGTTTCGAGGTCAAGGTCAGGGGTCGGCTTAACAAAGAAGTCCTGTTCAGGCGGATGAGGGGAAATCAGAGAAGGCGGGGACCAGCACGCACGTATGTAGGTCAGGTGGCGGTTCGCAGAAGATGGACTTACAGAATTTCCAAACTTGTTCGTCAGAAGATAATATCACCCTCTCATTAAACTCTATCCTCTGATCTTCTACCAGTCTGAGCGGTTTTATTGCAGTCAAATCTCAGAGCTTAGGCATTGCTGGTTGAATGCAGAGAGTCTACGCAGAGGCGAAACGACAGATAAATTGACACGTTGTTCCATCTTTTGAGATCTACAGTAAGTGGCATAAAATATAGCTGAACTACCAAAACACCATTTATCACTCGGGACTTTGCTCCAGTGAATCTACCAAAACTTCCTGTTTGCAATGGACGACTTCGATTAAAGTGGAAACTTTAAAAATATGTTAAAAATAACATTAAGCTGTTTAGAAATAACAACCTTTAAGAAAAATGGAAATGCCTAAATTGTTAAAAATCGCGTACAACGTGGGACCGTCAGTTTTAGAGGCAAACAAAACCTGTCCACGAAAATACCTAAGTCAAAAAACATCATGAGTAGAATAAGTTGTGAAAATAGTTCTCTTATGAAATTTGTACCTAAATATCTTCTAGTAATTAGTGTAATATTGAGTACGGCAGTTAGCCAGCAGCCTACACTTTGAATATATATTCCCACTCACTTTCTTCCGTTTTTGCGTTTTCGAGATGCATTTGACAAAGGAAGGGCCAATTTCGCCTGATTCCATCGATAGGGACGCCTCAGGAAGAAACGGCGAGGTTTGATCCTGAAGCCTCGCTTGACTGCTACCGTATGGTTAGCTTACTAAAACAATATTAGTAACATACATAAATTGACCACTTGCTGGGTCAGGAAGGGAAGGAGAGCGTAAGCAGAGCTTAAGCAGGTGCAGGGAAGAAAGTAAGGATGGCATGTACACACACTCCTCCCGACCCAGCCGCTTGCTGGATAAGGAGGAGAAGGAGGGCGCAATCACAATTGGAAGGCCACGGAGGGAAGCGTGTGGTAATTCGCAGCGCATGGCCACTGTAGTGGAACTGACGGTCTTCCACGCCATCCGAAAAATCTTATTATCAACTGTTCTTGACCACACACTGGATTAAGATAATAAAGAGGGCGCAAGCAGGTCTCAAAGCACGCACAGGGAAGCGCATGTGAACTGATACCAGGAGTAATCGAGGCTGGCGTATGAGCACTCCTCCCACCGTGGCACAGTCAATCGCTAGATTAAAATGAAAAGGAAGATGCAAATAAGTAACATTTATAAAGTCAGCATACTCGAGTTTATTAAAATATTTTTAGAAAGCTAACCATGTGATGGGACTGCAGGACAGACCTCGGCGAATAAACGGTCCAAGGTTGCCTAGTCGGCCAGTGATCAATAATTTGAATGCAATCGGCGCACGCAATCATAAAAACATCATTATCAGTATATAAAGCGGGATTCCGTTAAATGTTTGTGGCGTTTTCAGTGACGGTGAATTCCGTTAATTTTCGGAATGCCCTTGAAACGCCGGCAAATACTTTACAGTTTTCAATGTTCCCAATCTACTTCTCAAAAAAAATTGGTCGAGTGCTGTGTGTTTATGAAAACCTTGTGAGTAAGATACTTCTTAAATGTATTTACCAAAGCAATGAGTCCGAAGACATTCTTTGTCATGCAGTTAACCGTTTTAATCAGATTTGTAGACTTATCCAATTATGAAACTTCATTATCAGGAAAAATGAACATCGATGAAGGACGATAACTTTTCTCGGATTCGTTTGAAAAACTCTCACTAATAAGTCACCTCTTTCAAAAGCTCTTTAATAAGGCATTTTGATTACGGATGTTGTAACCATTTCTGGCTCATAAGGCTACCATCTCGAATTTTTTAAATGCTGGGTGGTGAAATAAACAAAAAGATTTTCCATCTTCTCAATCTCTGTCTGTATTTGAAAAGAGAAAAGAAAATTTGAGAAACGGAAAGGACATTTTTGCCCTAAGAACAAAGCGGGAAATTTGGCAGGCCAAGACTCATTTTGCCTTCCTGCGTCCAGCTGAATAGGTAGTACTGGACAGGGAGCACTATCCTCACCGGCTACTGACACATTAGTTGTGCCGGGAGGTTTTCGATCTTCTAAGAAGGTAATCGTCTAAGGGATTATTTTAGTTTTTGGAATTTCCGCACGATCAGAAGTAACGCTTTTCTTTTGCCCTACAGTTTCCTCTTGAGACCAGTTTTAACTCACGGGTGAGAAGACCAGATGGTTACCGGGGGGGGGGGGGAGAGGTGAGGGTTGATTTATGCGGGGTTTCGGGCTACCGTTCAAACGGGAAGTGTAAACATCTCTACGCCATGAGCATCTTGATTTTTCTTCAATAGCAAATGAGGAGGACCACCGTAGCTTGAGGAAAAAGTGGTCATTTTCGCGTAAAGTTACCCACATGTCGGGAGACTTACGCGGTAATAAACTGGTCTTCCTTCCGGGGACCCATCATACACCAATGGCAAGAAGGAGTTTGGGCGACCGAAGGGGGAACACGACAAGGCCATTTCGCTCGTCTGCACTTTCCACACACGAGCCGGCCAATAAGTATGAGTGAGCTATGCCATAAAGGCCGCATTGAGAAACAGCCACTGAAAGTTGATCCCGCAAGGATGCAATGACTCCTTCATGGCATAGCTCACTTCTGTGAAACTAGAGACGTTATGCGATTCGCAATAAACGACGACTCCCCGTTACTCTTGCCATACAGTAGGTAGGCCAACTCATGAAATGTCAACCGAAATTCCGAAATGCGTCTTCGGTTCATAATGAATAAGTATTAAGAGTTCTAAAACCAATCATCGTGCAGCATAATTCTATAATAATTGTGTTACATCAAAATGCCGGTTTCGAATGAACTTCCCCGCTGCATGCAAAAACTACACTCTGTACAAAATGACTACTTGACTAGCATGCATTTTTCTCATTGATCTGCTGTGCCCTTAAAAAATCAAATATATTTCATAGAAAGCATGCAGTTAGTATGGTATCCTCGCGCTTGTGCTAATAATTAGGCGGTGAAAAAATATACAACTGAAGCATGACGCTTTAGCAGTATATTCCACTGTGCAATGCAGTATGAAGTTTAGTGTGAATATAAGCAGGTTTTAAAGATACATAGAAAGGCGTGCTTATAGTGCCTCTGGACGGAGACATTGGGAGGTGAGGTGCGGTCGTGGTGGTATAGACGGGAAGCCAAAAAGGGTTAGAACGACTCAAGGCAATTATTTTGCTTTCGTAGTAGTATCCCGACCTTTGACTCTGCCACCATATCTGTCTCGCGCCCCGTGTTACTACAGTGATAATACGATGTCAGAATTTCGACATAGTTATGTGAAGCCGATAGCGTATTTTAACGCTCGCCTTGATTCCTCTACCATTTTAGTAACGATCAGACTCGTGCCGAATTGGCGTATAGTTAACTAGACAACGTGAAGATAACGTATTGTTACTAGGATCACTGGTACTCAAGACAACGTTGCTTTTGAAATCAAAAATTTGCACAAAAATCTCGACGCAGGTGAGATTCGAACTCACGCGGGGAAACCCCAATGGATTAGCAGTCCATCGCCTTAACCACTCGGCCACCGCGTCACGCTCTCAAAGTGCTTAAAAAGCATCCATTAATTTCTTGCGATTGTGCCTTTTATTCATGAACTGAAGTAGCAGCAATTGTTGTCACCTCCACTATCTGTCGAAAATCCATGAAATTATGCTACTTATAGCTGTTCCAGGCATCCAGAATGTGTGCTCCTAGAAGAGGGCGCGATCGAAAAAGCCAACAAGTATTTTTAAGACAAGTTGCTACTAAGCAAACCGTCATCCAAGTTAATGCAATCCACCGTTCTTTTGTTAGTCTCAAAAGGGAACCGACCTGTTCTATTGCAACCCCCACAACAATTAATGCTTTTGAATTTGTCCTTCCAATCTTCCTCTACGGTTGAGCCTCCGGCTGTGCTCCATCACTGTCTCTTGGGTTGATTCGTCTCAAATGATGCTCTCCGCACTATATTATATTGCCGCCTACTCACTACTGAATTTGAGGACAGCAAGTGTACCTTTGGCTCGTTCCTCGTACGTTTGGCCAGCGAAATACACGGCATTTCACAGAATTTTATACACCAACTGTCGTGTGTGTGTGTTTTACCCCTGAAAGTGGCCACGCGGTAGTTGTGTTGGGCGAACATAGGGGCTAGATGGAAGTCCGGCAGGTACTATCAGGTACGTCCACCCATAACAAATGCCAACATTGGGGTGTGGTGGCGCCCCAAGTTGTCATCCTAATCTGCGCCAATTGCGATCCCTGCCGCCCCCCTCTCGTTTGTTGTTTTAAGTAAAATACTGGACCTGGATGCACCTTCAGTCTCGACGGTGGCACCTCCTGACTATGTCCTCGTCCGGAGGCGAGACTAGCAGGGCGTCTTAGTGACGGGTCGCCAACGCGTGGATCGACCATCGCCTCGTCATTTCCAAGATGAAAACCTGCCTACAATCCTACAGGAGACCTCAAGGTAAGCACTCTGCCTGTCCTCGGTCGCGTGCTCCGCCAAAACCAGGATTGGTTTGACAGCAAGGACGCCGCCATCAGCAACCTGCTCGCCGAGAAGAACCGCCTACACATAGCCCACGTCAACCGCTCCACCGGAAAAAGCAAGGCAGCCTTCTACCGAAACCGCGGCCTTGCGCAACAGCGGCTGAGGGAGATGTGTGGACGGCTTGCATGGCCGAGGAGATCCATGGTTACACGGACCGAAACGAACGAGCGAACTTCTTCGTAGCGACCAAGGCTGTTTACGGTCCCGTAGCCAAAGGAACTTCTTCTCTTTTCATCTCCGACGGCGATACCCCATTCACTGAGAGGACGCAAATTCTAGATCAATGGACCGAGAACTTCATAGGCGTCCTCAACCGGCCCTCCGCCATCTCCGGCGTCGATGTCGCCCGTCTGTCTCAAGTGGAAACCAACGCCGACCTCAACCTCCCGTCCTCTGTACACGAAATCATGAAGGCCGTGCAGCAGCTCTCCCATGGGAAACCGTCCGGATCGGACGCAATTCTTGCTGAGATCAACAAGCACGGCAGTCCCCAACTTATGACTCTTTTAGATGTGACCTCAAGGAGGAGGGAAATAATTTGGTTTTAAAAAAGTTTCTTACTATGGGACTTTATATGCCGTGAAATGGCCGTTCATAAATCGTCAAGTCTCCGCATTTACCAATGTGGGTTGTAAAGCTAACAATATGATTCAAATCCACGGCTAAATTTTATGGACCCTATTTAGTGCCCCTTTATTACCGTAGTGAAATGTGTGGTTTTCCGTACGTGGAAAATATACGGCTTGTAGTTTGGAGACCCTGAATGCAAGTGAAACGGCATGTCGGATGCAATATTATTCGGGAATTGGAAAGGTTTTTGAAAACCGAACTATACCCTTTCTTCGAGTATATTATTGTAAGAAGACATAATTTTCTACCAAAGGAGCAAAATAATGGATATTTTGTGCATCTTTTCCATGAAATATAACTACACATTTAGGGGCATCGAAAATCAATGACAAAAATTCATGCTACGTAAGCAGTCATTTTTTATATCGTGCACTTGTTGCTTGCCGCCAGAAGGAAGTTCATTCGAAAGCCGGTATCCTTGAAATATTGTAGAATTGCGTTGCAGGCTGACTAATTTTACGATTCTACGTAATTAATCTTTTCAAACCGAAAACGCACTTCGGAATTTCGATTGGTATTTCATGAGTTGGCCCACCCACTGTACGTCCATTCTCATCCCCTGTCGACTTGACTTAAACAAACCACCATCTACGTGGAGGGCAGAGCAAGTGAGGTATATATAAATCTGACCAAAGGTGTATTTCCTTAGTCTAAACAACCTAACGTGTTTTGGACCCACAATGAAGTTCAAGCAGTCGTGGAATTGGGGAGAGCAGACCGAGGATCGGTTTCTATTGACCTTTCTAGTGCAGTACTGAAGACCATGTTATGACTAGTTAGTAGGGTTTAGCAGTTAATGAACCAAATGTCATATGTAGTTGACCCGGCTTAAATGAGCCACTAGGTACACGAGAAAGAGAGATTTAGAGCGTATGTGATCCAGCTCAGACACCGTGCCTAATTTCCTCCCTACGAATGATCAAACGCGTTTTAAGACTGCCAACAGTCGTGGTGTGGAGGGCCACATGCCCAATACGTTAAAAGTGGAGCTCACGCAGTTAGCCCAGTTGTTCTTTTTAGTGTGGAGTGGCAGATTGGGAGGCTAAGAGACGGACTGCCACGGCCCCCCCCCCCCCTTAACGTGAGCTCTGGCACGCTTACACATGTGAGGAGTGTGTGTGCGTTTCGTGAATAGTGTCCCTCAGTCGACGACTGACTGGTCACCCTGCCTTTGAAGGGTGATAGTCCAGGCTAAATGCAGGGCTGTGTCTCAACCCTCTAAACATGAGGAGTCGTGTGCGTCTGCCAGAGCCATTATTCAGCAAAACATGGCCCTCGCAGTCTGGCGAGCGCTGGCAGTTCTCTGGTACCTAGTTCTCCACCGTAGATGCGTTTGCGCTCCCCGCTGGGTATACGGGTCGGCAGCACGGTTGCCCAGTGATTTGTGTCATCATATCCTCTTCCGGGCTGATTTATATTTCCGGCTAAAATCCTAGTCGAATGTTTGTTGTGAATCGGGGGATATGGTGGTAGGTATAGATGTGGGCCCGGCCGTGCCAACCACCCGCGGCCTCTCCCACATACGGTTTTCTTGGTTACGCCTTGACACCTGGCCCAGCTGGGGGGGGGGAGAGTGTGATAGACGCTGTGCAAGTCCAATGCCACTATGAACTAAGTCACACGCAAGTGACCGTGCCTGCTTTAGCTTGACTGTGGAACATACGGAGGACGCTGTCGGCAATGACGGCAGAACTGTCAGATGTGCTATTTCATAAAATGTTAGCCAAAATTATATAATGCGTTTTCAATTCGAAAATATTACACAAGTAGCGTTGTAATATCAATTATCCGGCATCAAGATACCGACGTATTACAAACACGTCAGGGTGCTAGCTTTCGGAGGGGTTCTTTATCAACCGCCTGCGTAAGATACATTTTATAAGAACGACCACTTAAATAATGTGCATTTTTTCCCGTTGGTTTTCCATACCTCTGTAAATTCGAATGTATTTCATAGAAAACATATACAGAAATATTCTTTCTTTCACCCATTTGGCAGCAAATTACGTCTACTTGGAATTTTATACTCAAGAAAAGGGTGTTTTTGGTTTTAAAGATGTTTCTGACTATGAAGTTTTTCAAGACCGCAAAATGTCCATTCGTACAGCATCGTATCAACACAGTTATCAATGCCGCTTATAAAGTAAACAACGTGGACCACATTCATCACAAAATGTTATGAGTCCTTTAGGTCCTGTTCATAATAACGTTTTGAAATGCTTCATTTGCCTCGCACGAAAAGCGTATACCCTGTAGTTTGAAAACTCCGAGTGCAGGTTTGACCTCAGGTGAAGTTCGTTGTGCGACTGCCTGCGAGGGTTCTAGTATGAGCCCCAAGGCACAACGGAACGAGCATGTTCCGTAACCTACCTGATCGGTGAGCGCCCACTGTCATAACTGATATTCCCGATCACAACCGACAGGACAAGGGGCCCGTGGCTCAATGGTAGAGCGTCAAACTCCATGACCAAAGATCTCGGGTTCGAATCTCAAGTGATCCGCACTTGGGGTTGGGTATGACTGGCTGATGACTGTTAATAAGCCAGAAATGGCCATTCCGGTCTCCCTTGTCTTTGTCGGCTCCATCTCATCTATGTCTACTACTAGTCGCTGTGCGACTGCCTGCGAGGGTTCTAGTATGAGCCCCAAGGCACAACGGAACGAGCATGTTCCGTAACCTACCTGATCGGTGAGTGCCCACTGTCATAATTAAGGAAGTTTCTGTAAAACGGATGGATGCTTTTTCCTCAAACCTAAAGTCTGATGAAGACGCAATTCGCTACGAAAGGAATGAAAGAAAGATTTTTTGCGCATATTTTCTAAAAATTATATTTGGATTTGTAAGGGTATTAAAAATCAGTGGTAAAAATCCATGCTACTGAAAAAGTCATTTTTTTGCAGAATGTAGTTAATGTGAGTTATCAACACAAAGCCCGCCCTGAAGCCGGCATCCTGAGGTGACTGGACCAGCTTAACGTTATGCGACACAATGATTAATATGACAAACCCACAAAACTAATATTTTAAAATTCAAAACACATTTCAGAATTTCAGTCAACATTTCGTGAGATTGCCTATCTACTGCAATCTAACAGATATTCTGAAGTGCCTGACGGGTGGAACCCAGGCCGGCTAGGTTTTATTACATAGACCGGAGACTGGGTGTGGTCTTGCCCGGCGTCATATGAAGTGACGACGGTGATGACGAAACAGAAAGTACCTATTTCTCCCTCTCGCCCGTCGCCGTGCTGCACGCTTCAGAGCAGTCGCCGCCGCCGCCGCCGCTGCCGCGATGGAAATATTACTCCGACCGGCTCAACCAATCAACGTGCAGGCAACGCACGCGCCGGACATGAGTCAGCCTGCGGCGACAGGTGTAGCGGGCAGTGCAACGCCCGGCGATAAAAGTAGATTTGGGACACGCAAGTTCGGCTCCCACGGCAAGCAGCTACCAGGTGAATCACCTGGACAGTCGAACAAGGAATTCTGTAGCCCCCGAAAGCGCAGTTCTGCAGCGCAGTACTCTGGCCGACGCGACAGAGTGTGTGAATAGAAAAATAACTGGGCGTTTCAATTTATCCGACGCGGCGATCACAACAGGCGACGAAAAAAATTAAAGGTTGGTCCCAGGCCACGGCTGGCAAGCGCAAATTCCGCGTGTGCCTGCATTAAACGGATGCGGTATGACGTCAGGGATATGTTAAAATCGAGGAGGACCTCTTTCAGCAGAGTGGTTTGTAGCAATTGGTATTGCTATTTTTTATGTATTTTTGAGGGTATCGCGTGTGAGCTCCTTCTTATTGGTGAACATTCTCTTGGTTGTCCGTAGGTGTGAGATCTCTTAAACTGACGAGCTATAAAAGGAGTTCTGGCGCTTATAAGTCCGCCTGAGAAAAAAAGAGAACGAGAGTCCGTACTAACGGCGGCGCTTATAGCTTTGTAGGAGCAAGTTAAAGTATCCCGTTCCGACATAGTGCGGAGTATTGTACGATCAGTCAATGCCGTAGAATAGAAATCTCGTCAACCACCACCACCACCACCA